TGCCTCACCGCGCATCTCCTCCATGTATTTGAACGGGACATACAGAAATTCTGCTATTCTTTATTGAAAAAAATTCCTTCAACATTGGATTCGAACAGCAAAAGGGCCTACAACACACACCAGCCGACAAAATATTAACATTTATTATATTTTATGGTTAACTTTTTTTTCTTTTCAAGATTGACAGGGGAGGCTCTGCCTCACCTGCCTCCCGTGACCGCACGTCACTGATCTAGAGCTGAATAAAAATAAAAAATAAAAATAGTACGGGAAATGCAGATTTGGTATGGGATATTTATAACAGAGTAGATCAGAAGTAATCAGACTTTGTTTACTTTGTTACAGCTGATCAAAAGATCTTGAGACAGAGGCTACAGGAGCAGCAGTGGTAGTGCCCAGGTGTAAGGCTGAGATTGCTGTAAGGACTGCTATCTGAATGTATATGCAGTATATTATATACAATATTGAAAGCTTTAAAGTTGGTTGAAGAGAGTACATCAAGTAACATTCTCATTTGTAGTAATTTTCTGTCTTCACAAGTATTCAGTTACGCACCGGTAGGAGTCATCAGGATCTTCTGTAAAAAGCACTGAGTATATACTCAAGGATCAGGTGAGTTAAAGAAGTTGTCATAATGTGTGTTCCATTCTCATGTGGGATACAGGGAAATGAGAAAGCAGACAAACTAGCTAAAGAACAAGGAAAATGGATATTGAAGGCAATATTAACATGTCAAAGTCATAAGGGACATGTTTAGTATGGAGGAAAATTACCCATGAATGGCAACAAAGGTGGGATCATGAAATTAAAGGGAGGCATAGCATACAGAATGGGGGGAGTAAGGTGGGGCAGAGGCACAGTGAAAACAAGTAATAATTAGTAGAATCAGAATTGGACAGTAATCTCAATAGTACACTCTATAGGCTATTGTGATCTTTGTCAATTAATAAATCATGTCATCATTTCATGCAGGAGGTATTCAGGGGAATATGTTTACTCAGTTAAAGGAATTAGGGTTAGTAGATATAAGTTTTAAAAGTATAGTAGAATTCGGAAGAAGAAGGAGAAAGAGCTGCTAAATTTCTTGAGTGTAACAATGGAATTATGGATAGTGGAACGGTGACGCAGACTACGGACACAAGGTGTCAGTAATGCAACACTAGGATGTCAATTGTCGTAAAACACCAGGGAAGAAGAAGAACAACAACAACAAGAAGAAGAAGACGTGAAAGGGCAGTGAGTACCACTAGGCAACAGTATACAGCAGTAAGCATTGTAGAAGACATCCGCCAAACAAGCTGAGCAAATATTATCTGCAGCCTAATGTGTCGGGAATAACTAAGTTTAGGTAGGTATCTAAGGTTTGCTTGTTGTGTCCCTCTGTAGTTGTTACGTTTTTGTTTTAACAGTGCTAACGTTAGCCAGGTATTGCTTAACGTTAGGCTACCAAGTTGCAAATAGTGGTGTTGGTAGAGGCAGAACTATCCATTTGTTGTAATGTTCACGTTACTTAACCACAGGTTGGTCTGCAAGGCAAGACTTGTATTTACGTGCCACATATAATAGATAACAGACAGTGGCCTGGCCGTTTGGCTAGTTCACCTTCAATTAACGTTGGGAAGCCTTCAACTATTAATAGATTGTTAGTACTTATTTGTTTAACGCAGTGTTATTAGAGCGTTAACATATGCATTTAATTGTAACTCTCTAATAAATAGTTACCACCTACCAGCTTGGTAGTATCAGATGATTTATCCTACCTTGCACATCACTAAATGTGACATTCCCAAGTCCTTTTCTTCCAGATATGTTCTCTGTGAACAAGGGAACCCTTTAGTTGTTTATTATTAATATTGAGCAGTTTGAACACTCCCAACTTAATCTACCAGGTCTATTCCCATTTCCCACAGGTCTGCCACAGACCACCTTTCTAAACACTAAACACAGGAGCTTACTTGTTTCTTGTTTTCTTCTCTTTGTCAGATATGACTAGGATTTTAAGGCAGATGTGGACCGAGTGACACCCCTGTCATTAGTCACGCAGTGCATTCATGTGTATAATTTTCTTAAAGTTTGACCCCCGGCCTGCATCCAAAAACGCCTACAGGTGAGCAGTCAGTCCTTACAACTAAATCTGAAACTGTATGTGCTTAATGTAATGTTGGTATATTAGAAAGGATGCCTCCAAATATCTTACAGAGGTAACAACTAACCAGAATTACTCAGTATATGCAGCAAAAATGAAACCAAAACTCTTAGTATTTTTAAATAAATCCCCTTCATACATAGAGGTCAAAGTCACTGAAACACTTGGAGTATGGTATTCTCATCCGGTCACTCTGATAAACTTATGAATCTTAACTGAGTTTAGCAGAATGACAGAAGAGAAATGCCAAGATGAAGATAAAACAAACACCTATGCAGTTTTGATTTTGGTGCAAACACAAACAGCAGTACTGTAGCAAAGGAGTCACAATAAGAGAATACTCTTCTGTAGTTTCCTCATCTGTTAGAGGTAGAGGTAAGTGTGTGTGTGTGTGTGTATATATATATATATATATATATAGTGCCTTGAACAATTCTATCATTCATATCAGGCGCATAATCTACTTGGCACTACCAACATTTCCATTTTTACAGAAAATGAGGCACATCTTCTGTTCAAGTTTGCTATTTTAGCACTGAATAAATCAGCATGCAACCTCCATTCACCCTACCCAGCAGCATATGTGAACTTCTTTCATCAGGCAGCACAGACCAGAGCACTATGAGCATTTGCTGTGAGTTACAGTTGGATGTGCAGCTGAGTATAAACCCCTAGAGCTCAAGAGTGAGTGCTCTATCTGGCCATAGTTCATCTCTGTCTTTCCCTTTGGGAGTTTGACCCCGCCTAAGGAGATCATAGCAGAGTGTGCTAGAGTACTGAATCAGACCTGAACCCGGGGAAAGGTGAAATGCTGTAATGTGTTCATGTCAGTGCTATATTTGTTCTACTAGTTGCAGAAATAGTTTTGTTGTGCTGCATTTGTGTAAATCAGAAGGAATGTGCTACATACTTGGACTAAATTGGGTTGAAGGCAAGATTAAAGTTTCATTAAGAGCAATTATTAAACTCCCATAGCACAACATGACAGAAATGTATCTGCACTGGTTAAATGGGTTCATGTTCAGCACAAATGACACAATGATTGCCCACATGTTGAGATTTCTGTATTTCGAAACTTAGTTTCTAGCCTGCACTGTTTTTTTTTTATTTCAACATTTTTAGCTGCTTGAAATAAAGCATTGCAGCAATCAACCAACCAGCACCATAATAGGAATTTGACCTGTAATTATTGCACTTCCTTAAGCTACACATCATCTTTTAAATATGCCCACTAGCAGTCTTGAGAGGCTACTTTATTCATTTTACCCATTTATCTTAGGAGAGTTGCTCCCATGGTAATCTGTCAATTCAACTATGACATACAGACAGGTGACAAATTAAAGGAAAACCCAGATCTTGACCCAGTTGAACACCTATGGGAGATGTTGGAGTGAGGTGTTGGACAGCGTCTCCTCCACCATCATCATCAAAACACCACATGAAAGAATATCTGTTGGAAGAATTATGTTCATCCTTCCAATAGAGCTCAGACACTTGGAGAGTCAATGCCAAGGAGCTGTTCTGGTGGCAGGTGGTGGCTCAGCACCTCACTGAGACACTTTATGTTGGTTTGTCCTTTCATTTGTCACCTGACAGTATGTTGTAGGCAAGTTGACAGTTTTGCCCAACGTTTGCTTAAGATAGCACAGGGACTGTCTAAAGCCTTAAAGGTAGATCCTCTTGGAGCTGAAATTGACTCCTATTTAATGGCAGCCTGCCAAATAGCTACAGTGTTGGCATTTGTTTTAAGATGATGTGTTGGTTGTTTGGTCCACATCCTAGTCCCAGATGATATACACCTATTGGATTGCCATGAAGTTCTGTATAGAAATTTATGTTCCCCAAAGGATGAATTCTTGATCCATGACTTTTTCTTAAGTGTTGCCATGAGGAGCATATTTTTTGTTTTGCACTGAGATGTTATTATGACCACTGGATGGGTTGCCATGAAATTTGGCACAGATAAACATGGTGCCCAGCGAATGAATCTTACTGTCTTTGGTGAGCCCCTTACTCTTCCTGTAGCATTAGCATCAGGTTAAGTTTTTCACTAGTCAGATATCTCACAATCTACAAATATTTGGTCTAGAGAAAAAGTTTCTTGGTCACCAAAAACCTGGGGTGATGGTAAATATCTAAATCAAATTTAATAGAATTCTATGTGTTTTCAAAAGTAACTTGTCTTAGAGCAAATAGTGGATCAGGTGGAAATTTAACATGCTGTTAGTGCAAAATGAAAGGTTAAGGATTACAATTATAAACAATG